CACAAGAGAAATGACAACATACAGGTCACACCGAGACGTATATGTGAGGGTTCCTGGCGGCATGAGTCACAGGAGCCAGAAACTGGGAGCAACACACGTGTCCCTCCAGGGACGAATGGATGCACACAGCGCAGGCTGTTGCCATGTGGAATGACGGGCACTGCCCGGCCAGTGTGGCTCAGTGGTTGAGCATCAACCCATGAACCAAGAGGTCACTGATTTGATTCCTGGTCAGGGCACATACTTGGGTTGCGGGCTCAATCCCCAGTAGGGGGCCTGCAGGAGACAGCCGATCCATGATTCTCTCTTACCGAAGTTTCTACCTTTCTACCTGTCCTTTCGTCTCTCTCTAAAAAAAGTAGATAAAAACATATTAAAAAGAAAAAAAGAATGACTGACACAGGCTACAGCATGGGTGAACCCCGGTGCCATTATGATAAGTGAAGGCATCGGGTACAAAGGCCTGCATGGTCTGTGAGTGTCCAGAATCGCCGAACCTGCAGAGGTAGAGACACATGGGGCCTGCAGGAGGCAGCCAATTGATGATTCTCTCTTACCGAAGTTTCTATCTTTCTACCTGTCCTTTCGTCTCTCTCTTTAAAAAGTAGATAAAAACATATTAAAAAGAAAAAAAGAATGAATTTATTTCAGAGAGGAAGGGAGAGGGAGAGAGAGAGAGAAACATCAGTGATGAGGGAGAATCATGGATCAGCTGCCTCCTGCACGCCCTGCACTGGGGATGGAGCCCGCAACCCGGGCCTATGCCCTGACCGGGAATCGAACCCTGACCTCCTGGTTCCTAGGTCGAGGCTCAACCACCGAGCCCCGCCCACCGGTTGGCCGGATGATGGCATCTATTTAAGTGTCCTTTCGGGAGGCTGCCCAAGGCCCCTCCCATGTCCTCCTGGGCGGCTGGCCGTGACCCTGGTCTGATTTGTTTCAAAACGCTGCCTCCACACACCCTGTCCCTCCCCTCCCCAGGGTGTCTAGCCTTGACCTTGGTCTTGCCCATGGCTGTGGGTGGGGTGGGCGCCCCGTTCTGGGGAGATGTGGAGCCCGCTGACCTGAGCGCCTTCTCTCCGCAGGGGAGGAGCGCCCCCGGGAGGGCCCGGCCCCCGCGGAGGCC